AATTGGTTGACTGGGGTGTGATAAGGCTGTTCAGTTTTAGATCCATCAAGATCTTCGTGCACCTCATTACTTTCGGATCCAACGATCCTCTCAAGAAGGTAGAGTCACGGGATTCTCCTAACGTTCCAGTCCCACCCCAACTTGAACTAAGGTAAAAGTAACGAAGGAAATGAAGTATGTGAAAACCTGGCCATGTAATTGATGTAGACTACTAATGTTGTGGCTTTTAATTAGGCATATTACCATTGTATCTCTACCTCCTAATGCATCTTATAAAAATGGTATTGAATATGCGTATGCAATCCCTTTTCATATGTATACACTAATTACGCGGGTTAGGTGCTGTTGTATCCAGCAACCTTAACAATATCCCTTCCGTTAAAGTATCTTGAGACCGTCGGTCTCGCTGTATCTTTTCCGGGCGTGACCTTGTACACTGGAATATTGTATTTATTGGGAATGAAAGCTGGAGCTTTACATGGCCCATAGGTTGTAAAGAGTTAGGATCGGGTCTTTAGAAATGACCAAGCAACCTTATAGCGGGTCGGACTCGCGTATCATCCGTATCTTCCTCGGGCGTATGTGGCATTTAAACAAAATGCACGTCTTCTCATAACATGACACTCCACCACGCCCTCTGATATAGCTAGGGAAAGGGCTAGGTAGAGTTTACATAGGAGACTCCGTTAACATGTAAATCGGGAGTACTGGGCGTGGAATAAATATAGGTTGCTGCCTCATGTGGGAAGCGGCCGGAGTTGACTGGGGCTAGTCTGGGGTATGAGACATAGAATAGTAGTTAGTTGTCTCAGGAGAGATCGGAATGCAGTTCAACATAATAACGGTCCAGTGGAATCTTAAGGTCGGCTACAGTGTATGCCGAGACTAATTCGGCAGGCAGGGCGTTCCACAGTCCGTAGACTCGCAGACCGAAGAAGTGTCGCCTGCAATTCAGCCGGCTGTGCTGACGTGTGAGCCGGAGTGGATGACCACGAAGATGGGAGCATGAGTAGTACAGTTTGGATAAGTCCAGAAAGGGTGTCCAGAGTTAGATAGGGTTATAAACACAAGTCGCCCCGAAGACCTCGGTATTTCAACGAGAAGAGACCAAGGCGATGAAACTGTTGTGGATAATCTAAGTGTCTGAGATCTCGTACTAATTTCGTCGCTCGACGTTGTGGGGCTTCAAGCATACACTGATTTTTGAACAGCCAGGCGCTCCAAGTCTGGATAGTAAACTCCAATTGTAGTTAAAAGAAGACGTTTAGGAGGAGACGGCAATACCTTGTGTCAATTTTGCTGAAGGAACTTTTAACAATCCCAACATGCGGTTAACAGCAGTGGCTACTATTCTGCAGGCAACAGGTATAGAAAGTTTGGTCTGAGTGATGGTACCCAAATCTCTTTCGGTTGACGAGACCGGGAGAACACACTCCTCCAGGCAGTATATTGGAAAAGCGGAAGGGTGGATGAAGAGGACACGACATTTCGAAGCGTTAAACAGGATGATGTTTTCCAGGGACCACTGATGCAGACAGTTGAGGTCCCGTTGAAGCGCATGGGTATCATCCGGAGCATTAATTGCGCCTCAGAGCTTGGCGTCGTTGGCATATAGCAGCAACGAGGACTTGGCTTGTGTTGTGACATCGTCAATGAAACCTAGAAAGAAATCTGATCCGAGAACAGAGCCCTGTGGAACTGCAATTGTCGCAAGGATACAGCAGGACAGCACTCTGTCGACGTGTAATTGGACAGTATGGCGCTGGAAGTAGTTCCGGATCCAGTCCATTAAGGCTGCATATATACCGTAAGACAGTGCGTTAGATGGTGTAGTCGACTTTGTCAAAAATTTTGGCGAAACCCAAGATAACGTGCGTTTTTAGGGCGGTGTCAGCATCGATCATCCAGCTATCCCGGGCGAGCAGCAGACTGCTCAGGCATGACCATCATCATCATTACACACGTTAGCTAGAGGTGGAAAACACCTCAGATGTTGTGCTGCAATACAAAAGCAGAGACACGCCCGCTGAGACACCAGTAACGGATGGGCAACCTTCCAAAGAGCTAATAGCTGGCTATTGTGCCGCAAATGGTATGTATATAATGCCTACTAAATGAAATTGTGGTTAGAGGAGGAGGCTAAGCGGGAGGGGGAAGGTCAAAGAAACTCACAACCCAAACGCCATAGAGGTCGACTCCTAGACATTTCAACATGTGTATCCAGCCAGACGTGTTCATCTTCTTTCTTTTGGAGTTGAAAGACTCCAACCGAGGTTAACTTTGAAGCAAGGACCTTCATTCTTCTTGACCAAGTCGTCGCTTGGCAACCTCTCCTTCCATCCTCACCCCCAGCGAGCAAACAACGCATGTCACGGGAGTCGGTGGACTGGCATGCGTAACACGTAGCCTAACCATTGGAGCCTGTTGTGTGATATAACGGTGCTGAACGGTTCACTTATTCGTCCTGTGCTATAAACGAGGCGTCAAACGCGACCATTGCTTACACGGTGTTTCCACCAGACATGAGCCAAACTGCGAAGGCACCGGTGATCCAACGTAACTGGCCTATGTATGTCGGCTGATCTGATGGGCCAGGTTTCACAACCGTACAGCAGGGTCGAACGTACGGCTGCATTGTACACTCTACTCTTCAGGGAAAGACTGATGTCGCGCCGGCGCCATGGGTGGCGAAGGTTAGCAAATGCGCCTCGTGCTTTTGCTATACATTTTGTGACCTCGTCTTCAATTCCCTCGACGCCTATACAACTGCCACGGTAGTTGAATTTTTGAACGACTTCTAATTGATCCCCACTAAGGGTCAACGTAGATGGCGGTCTCTGCCATACTTGGAGGAAAATTGCACTATGAGAGTGCAAGTATAGTCCGCAACGGTTGACAGCCAGTGCTAATCGGCCCAATGCACCTTGGCACGTTTCTGAGCTGTCACGTATGAGGGTAATATCGTCAGAAGTCGATCAATTAGGAGCAGCTCCGCACCATGTAAGCTGTGTCCTCTGAACGCGATATCCATAACTTCGTCAATGACGAAGTTGACGAGGAAAAGTGACAGCGGACATCCTTGTTTTACACCACTGGAGATATTGAAGGGTGGCGTGGGTTTGCTATAAGCTCTCACTCTACCCGAGTTACGCGCGTAAAGCGCGTGCATAATATTTAGGTATTTCTCGGGCATACCTTTCCTTAGCAGATAGTCCCAAAGGGCACATTTTTCTACCGAGTCGAAGGCACTCTTGATGTCGAGGGACACAACGGCGGACCGCCAATATACGTGACGATGCACTGACAACTGACGCAATGAAAGTGTGTTCGATGCAGCCCCGACCTCGATGAAACCAGGCTTGATCCTCACAAATCTGGCTTTCACGGGTGCTAAGTCATTCTGTGAAGAATGACAGAGTCAAGCAATTTGGAAGCGATGGAGATCAGCCTGATTCCTCTTTGGCTGCCGCATTTCGAACGTGAGTCTCCCTTGAAGATCGGGAGCAGTTCCAAGCGTGCTATTACGTCTGACGTGCTTTCACGAAGTCATTGGATATCGCGCTTTCTTCTGACTCTTGATTTAATGGGCTGACGATTTGTTCTTACTATGGCTTCGGTTGGTACATCTCGACTGCTGAGTTGGGGTCGCAAGGCCGACAAACTCTTTTGGTTGGATACACTTTTCGAAATGGCGATGAACCGAACTCAGTGGCGTTCGTGTTAGGGGTTTTTGCCCCCTCCCCTTCACCATTTAGCTTCTCCCTCCACCCACGGTGTCACACTCGATGCAAGATAATATACCAAGCATTATGGTGATTGCTAATTGTTTTTATTCCTTATTCTGTAATGTTTTGTATCTCGCCTTTTACTATATCTTGTCCGTTGTATTGCGGTGTTTTGTACCTAACTGGAGACAGGAGTATGAAGTGAATCGCCTAGAAACGGCATGGTTGGGATCGGTCGTCTCTTTTGATAAATACTTTTGGATTAATTACGCCAATGTTTATGCGCAATTTCGGACATGCTACAATCTCGGTACTTCTGCGTCGTTTCCTTGCTTCTGACTGTTAATTCTATCATCCGATGTTTGTATTACGTTCCACCTACTCTTTTTGGATCATTTTCCGTTTTCCTTATTCTCCGGGCATGAGTCATAGCAACCGTATTTGTTACAGTTTTGGTTTTTGATTACCGATGCGTCACGTTAACTGAACTACACCTCCCACACTGCTCAGTCGCGTGGATATCAGTTCATGCGTCATAAGTTCGGGTGTCGGAACATGAGCGTCTTGGGCAGGCGTATCGGTTTGCTACCGCACACCTAAATTCACAGGCGCCATGACCAACTTGATGCCACCTAACCACAACTCACCCGGTCATTGATCATAGTCGGAAATGGATCATAAGACATGTTCGAAAGATTCAGAGGAATCGCCCTATCCTTCTGAGCTTAATGTGTCTGCTCTCAAGCCGATCCTCGTGCTCTCTCTGTTCATCACTTGCTTGATTTGTACCCAAGCTCCCGCTCGTTCCGCTGCCTTTAGGATCATACGTTTAGGCTAGTCATCAAAAGTAAGGGCCCCCTAGGGGATCCCTCTTCCGGGATCAGCCGCCACCATGGTGTACTATCTATCCATAGGGTTTTGCTACCATTTTTACCTATCATTTTTCCTCGCCTCACGAATTCCCCTCTCTTGAGTCAGCCGGCGATAAGCCGCCCATTACCTTACAGGGGATTCGTGCGTCGCACACGCACATAGTCTGTTCGCGTTAGTAACCAGCCGACTAAACGTTGAACTTGATTTGTGGCACTTCACACTCATCAGTATGCGTTTCATCTCCAGTCATCCTTTCCAAGTCATAGCACGATAATGATGCAGCGTCGTATGTTTTGATCAAATAGCTTTTTTTATTTCCCATAACTTTTAGCACCATGGAAGGCCACCGTTGGCTGTTATAAACTGCGAACGGACATGCTTGGCTGATTTTGTTCCAGGACGATGCAGTGTGACTGGAGAGACACCGCTGTCCAATTGGCTTCCTTGATTTGCGCTCACAAAGGTAGCATTGTTGTTTATACCGGAGCAGGGATTAGCACGGCAACAAGCATACCGGATTACCGTGGAACCAATGGGTTATGGATGTACCAGAAACGGGCCAGAACATCAGGTTTGCTCTTGAATTTCTTTGCTCACCTCTTCTTTACTCTCACTCAGGTCGATCTCGTTCGCGTCCAAACGGGAACAAATCGCGTGACTCAAACGTTTTGCCAAAACCGGAAAACACCGGGAAGCTAGATGCAATTAATCCATGCCTTGGTACTCCCGAACCGACCAGGCGAGTAGAGGTTCACACTAAATTGCGTTTGCCGGAAGCAACTACTGCCCGACCTACGTTCACGCACATGGCTATCAAGGTGCTGGTTGAGCAGGGCTATGTAAGTCTGCGTCCTGCTGTTTTTTTCCACTGAATGCCGCGCTTGGATTCTGTAGTGCCACCATCTGTCCAATTTTACTAGTACTTGAAATGTACTCCCGGGTATCACATTTTATCCACGGTGATCATAACGCTTCTCTTCACAAACTTGCTATGCTCTTTCTTGCACTTGTGCGATCACACTGTACCTTCTGGTGTTCCTTGACACCAGATTCTAGTCATGAGTAGGGGTCTTTTGATCTAAATTGTGGGGGAATATCGCAGTAGCGTTCAAACCAGAATTCTCTACATGCCCGGAAAAGCACTAAACGGCCGTTTCGACCTGTTGGATCTCTTTAATAGTACGCATCTATCCGGATTCCCCAGCATTCGGACCCGCTAATGATCATGGGTTCAAATACTGCAGGATCCGATCGATGCACACAACTGATCAAACTGGTCGAAACAGCCGTCTAGTGTTTTTCTGAGTATGTAGAGGACCCTGGTTTGGAAGCTACTGCGAAGAAATTATCTAGAAGTTGGCTCCGAGTTCGTCAAACAGCGATTCCCGTGAGGTCGCTCAACCTGTCACTCCGTGCCTTGCTCTTACGAGTAGGTCTCCAGTAGAGAGTTGCACCACTTCAACGCTACTAATCAGTTACTGGACGGATAACAGTTCACCATAACACCAGGGTTTCTCCCAGGTTAAAGGTTGTAGCGGATACAGTACATAGCAGTCGTCACGATAGCTGGCTAGTCGATGGCATACTTCGAGCTGTTAGTGGGACATGATGGTGGACGAGAGCGACTCAAAGAATATGTGTGATTAATTATTTATCAACCCTTCTATTCCTGTTAAGACAGGCAATCTTCGTATTTTCTCTCGGATTTGTGACAATGCTAGTATTTATGACCAATTCGTTGTCTCCCAATGGATTAGTAAACGCTTCTAAACCGTCAACTTCACTGCAACTTATCAACTATGCTTTTGTCACCGGAGTTCTGTTAATCAACTTTCCTCGTTTTTTGCGAATACTCGGTAGAGGATAAAGTGATATAAGTAGCACTTGAAGCGCCAGTTGAAGACGGTTTAAAACATCGAAAACTAATGGTTTCAGTACTGCCAGTTAGAAGTAGAAGATCGAAAACAATAGCGTCACTGTTACGACTCATGGCTTATAACGGACAAATGACAGTCTGTTGGATTCCACCGAAGCATGCCACAAATCCCTACATATTCCCAAGTTTTTAGCTGCCTCTGGTTCTCCCATCAGCTGACATTTTTACGGTTTGATTGATTGGACTATTGGTCCTTTTGCTTTAAATCGCATCTGATGGAGTCGTTTGGTCGGTCATGTAACTGCTTAGACTTCAGTTAACTTTGGTCGGCATTTGATCTTTTTTGGACGTCCGTTTTTAATTGGAGAACAGAACTATTGCACGTTTGTGTGGACATTGTCAAGGTCAATGTATAATTTGTTGGCCTAACCCTTTGTAAAAATAGCACCGTAGCGAATTTTCTGGCTTTGACTTTTGAATTAACTTGGATGTTGCTTGAATCCACCCGATTTGACGGTAACATGACTACTAACGGAAGATGCGGAGTGCTCCCGCCCATCGGAGCCCTTTATCTCTTCGACGTTTCTAGTGTTTGATTACCATATCATTCTTTTAGGCGCATTCCGTTCGTCGCCTGATTCGACCAGGCGGATTTTGGAGTTGCTGAGAGCTGTCACTATGAATAGGTTACGCTTCGATACCCTTGGCGTCGAAGATTCTCAGTTCTCTACTCCTTCGACGAGCCCATTGCAGCGAAGCTGGACTAGACGTGGTGCCGCGGGTTGCGTTTCTCTGTGATCCAATGAAATATTCTAGTTGTGGCTCTTTAAGTGCCTTGGGAGCCACTCATCACACATTTCATTGATTATCAGTTAAGCAAACTCGGTTTCAACTCGCTCTTCATCAGAAGCTGCAATGAGATCGAAGCTCCCCTATATTCGAACTCTGTCATGAAAAGTGCAGCTCATTTCGTCGCATCGCATGAGCGCTGCGGATCTTCTGACTGCGGGAGAGCCTAATACTTACCAAATGATATGCAACCGATTGTTTCACGCCAGGCATGCCCTGATCCTTAAGATGCGAACTAGCTCAGACTTATCTACATGTTACTATAATTGCAGATGTGTATCCATTTGGCTTTCGAAGAGCATGTTCGAAGTCTTCCCAAGACTGAGCGTAGCTTGCCTCCATCAAACTCCGATGGGAATCCATAATCACTTTCTCGAGCTGGGTATACCTCCTGTTGTCTACCGTGTCGAACAATTAAACCAGAGATTTAGGTTTAAGTTTTCAAGTACATACAGTACAGTAATACCTCCGAAGTTGACCATCTCTGTATCCTGACCAACACTTTAAGCTAACCGTTTTTTTCCATAGCTTGAACGTTCACCATGTAAACTTCATAGAACCAGACCTCTGGGCCCGTCATTAATTTAACCATGTAAAGTTTTCAGTAAATAATAATGATGTGTCAGCTGTATACCGGATTCGTGTGGAAGACATGCGTCGTCTTACTGCCTTCGATAACGGTTGCTTAAGGAGGATCGCTCGTGTTTGGTGGCAACGTCGAGTTAACAGTAATGACGTTCGACGTCGAATCTTGGGGAATGCGAGTATTCCCTTCAACAAACTGGTTTTGCTGCACCAATTGAGATGGCTCGGTCACGTCCTACGCATGGCACCTGAGCGTCTACTGCGTCGCGCTCTATTCGCTCGTCAAGGACCTGGCTGGAGGCGACCGCGTGGTTGTCAGCCTTCCACTTGGCTGCAGCACATGAAATCGCTGACGTCGTGTCTAGCCGCTGTTGGGTCTGTACGTCTTCCAGGATGGGGACCCCAAGATGAGGAGTGCCAATGGCTTAACACTTATGAAGACATGGCCCGCAACCGGAATCAGTGGAAGAATTGTGTACAGAATTGTATTGATTCACATGTCTAATGTTTCAAACCTTGAAAATGACAAAAAAAGCGAAAATTCGGCGTGTGAAAACAAACTAAAAATGTTTTGTTCTAATTTTTCTAAAAATGTTCCATTCTTCCTGCGGCATATTAGCTGAAGTGGGTTGCTCACCCTCAACTACCATGCCACGATGATTATGACGCGATGACGGTCCCTTATCCGCTGATCACCATGGTTTTACGTTGGCTCTGTGTCTAGTTGATCGACTGCTGAGATTGGTTGGTATACCGGAACGGTGTTTCGCTGCCGCGCGCCCACCATCAGTCGCACGTGGGCTGAGTATACCTCGAGGGCTCTTACTCCTACGCACGCCTCGCTTTTTCTAGGCTGAGGCATTTGTGGCGTCGCCACGACATTGGTCTCTCCATCAAAGGGCGGGTCTATTGTGCAGCTGTTCGTGCTGTACTGTTGTACGGATGCGAGACCTGGCCCATTCGTAAAGATGACTTGCACAGGCTATCCGTCTTCGAGCACCGCTGTCTGCGATCCATTGCCCCTGTGTGGTGGCAGCACCACGTAAGCAATGTGGAAGTTAGACAGCGTGTCTTGGGACGTGAAAGCCACTCGCTCGAGGAGCTCATCTCACTGCATCAACTGCGGTGGTTGGGACACGTATTGCGCATGCCTGTCCAGCGTTACCCCCGTCGTGCGTTGTTTGCAATTGCTGGACAGGGCTGGAAGAGACGGTCTGGTGGACAGCCAACAACATGGAGAAGCCGCATGAAAAAGTTGACGAAACAATTGGCCTCGGCCGGTTGTTGTCGACTACCTGGTTGGGGTCCGAGAGACGAGGATACTTGCTGGTTGAAAACCTTGGAAGTTATGGCTCAAGATCGATGTCAATGGCGGACGTGTGCATCAGTGTGTTGCGGTGTCCCTTCCTCCTCCCCCTAAAAACGAACAAACTGAAAAAAATTTCAAAAACTGTGAGTGGTAAACTTGACAAAAAAAAGCATTTCTTGTTGCTCTTTTCTTATTATTCATATTGTTTTCCTAATCAGCCATGATTCCGATGGCACAATATCTGTACCACAGATTGTGTATTATATATATATATATATATATATATATATATATATATATATATATATATATATATATATATATATACTCCTACGCAGATTCGAACCCGGGACCTTATGGTTGTAAACCAGGCGGTCCGACCACTCGGCCACCGGCCGACATGGTGGTTTACTGTGTAACGGTCACCGGACGATCATTTGTTCTCCTGATCCACTGCACTTTACGGCTCCGCAGATGTTTTATGATACAGTACGTTCTTTGTATGTCTACATGTGTGTGTATGTTGTCCCGCCTCTCAGTGTTCACACACATCAGTATTTACCTCTGTTGTATCGGACGCTGCTAGAGTAGAGCGTGGGCCGATCCCCAACAATGAAGAATAAGCAGGGCGAGTACGGGAAAAACTGGAGTTTATCTGCGAACGGAACGTGAACCAAACGCGGGTGGTGAATTCACACTGTACAGCCTTCACTAGCCGAATGCGCGTTCGATCATGGGTACTGATTTCAAATCAACACTAGTCTGTTGATCGATGTCTTTCCGGTGCATTAGGCATCAGCCGGGTTGACCTTGGGCTCAGCTCGTTCTGGTTTTTGGAACAGCTGGTTGAGTGAACGCGATTCACGTGCTCTGCTGATTTGCACTCGAGAAACCGTACACTCATAGCAACCTCGTACATGTTTCCCCACAGATCCGCGTCTAAAAACGGACCTTGACCGTTTCGTGTGAGATCTCTTCTCACACAAGCACGCATCACGTCTAATCTTTGGAATGTATGTCCACTCATTGTATGGCTCGCAATTTAATAGTTTGAGTACCTGTCTAACCGTCGATTAGCTGGTTCTAAACTAACCTGTTCAACACCCGTTCGTTAGCCTCTTGGATTGTTGCAAAATTAACTTTCCCGTCCGTACTGATCCTTACCTCGAGCTTTTGCTATACGCTTCGTAAGCTCATCTTCAATCCCACGGGTGCTAATATGGCTGCCCAGGTACTTGAATTCCTGAACAAAT